TGTTCTCCCGTAACATCCCCATCAGCCTATCTCTGGGGCATGGTGCGACTGCAGTGGGGTCATTCTCGCCTCTTCTTCACACTGCTCCCCCTTTTCTTTATTGCCTTGGCTAGCTATTCCTTGCTGATTGATGGGCTTTGGGGAGACAACTCCTTTGTCCCCCCCTCAGCTTACTGCTTTTCCAAATCAACCCACCGCCTGAGTGTTCTTGGTCTACAGAGGAAGCACACGCTGAGCTTCATACATCAGAGACAGGGTATAGGGATATATACAGAGAAACAGGGCAGATCTGGCATCTAACATTTAGAGACCTGGGAGGTGTGGGTCTTTAAAATTAAAAGACAGAGGTTGCCCTGATCAGATGGATGTACTGCTGCTGTGGCTGCCGAATGACCTTGACAAGGAGCCATGTCTATGTCCTCCCCTGACTCACCCAAGAGAAGCCAAGAGCTGGAGAAAGAGCAAGAGAGGTGCAGCTTCCTTATGGTCTGATAGAGGATATGTTCCTATACCACATATATTCTATCCTATAGCATATATAGAGATCATATATATATTCTATATCATATATATTCCTTATGGTCTGATAGAGGATATGTTCCTATACCACATATATTCTATCCTAGATCATATATATATTCTATATCATATATATTCCTTACGGTCTGATGTGGGAGCCTGTGGGATGGCCCTGCCTCACTGGCTCCTAACGATACGCAGGGTCACTCACCACCCCATTAAACCCGGGGGAGAGGGAGATTGGACTAATGTATTCTGTAGTGCCTGAGGCTTCGTAGAGGGAACCCGCCGACAGGATGTCGACAAGCCAGGATGTGAAGCAGCACTGCTGTGTCTACTGTGCCGACTGGAGAGGGACTCACCTCGACGGTGGCCCCACAGGAGACCGGCACAGCACTGCCCGGTCCGCACCATCCTCACAATTGTGCTTCTCCTTGAGCCCATGGGTGCAGCCACTGTGCCCACCCTTCTTGTCAGGCCCCTCCTCTTCCTCACCGGCCCTCGGCTTTACCAAGCATGACGTCCTTCTGGGGCTGGTCTCTTCTGACGACACGTCTAAAGTCTCCCCGTCCCTGCCTCTAAGGCACATTCTGGCCAGACTTCTTCCAAGACAGATCTGTTTGTCCTTTTGGCAGTCCATGGTACTTTTACTAGTCTTCTCCAGCACCGCAATTCATGTGCATCGGTTCTGTTTTAGTCGTCCTGATTCAGCGTCCAGCTTTCACATGCACATGAGGCAACTGACAATAATGTGGTTGGATCAGGAGCACCTTAGTTCTCAAAGCAACATCCCTATTTTCAATACTCTGAAGAGGTCTTGTACAGCAGATTTACCCAATAATGCAATGCATCTTTGGATCTCTTGAGAGCTGTTTCAATGAACATTGATTGTGGATCCAAGCAAGACAAAATCTTGACAACTTCCACCTTTTCTCCATTTATCATGATATTACCCATTGGTCCAGTTGTGAGGATTTTGTTCTTTTTTTTTTTTACCCTGAATGCAGTCTTATG